GGAACGTTGGAAGCACTGTCTGACGCGTCTGCCTCCGCGACACGAAAGGAGAAGCGGCGATGGAAGATGATGATGATGATGATTGTTGACTTTAAAGTAAATATATTTTCTGTGTTGGTAAATTTCACTGTACATGTGGCATTATTTCACTGCCAACGCCCTCAGTTATCGCGATTATTCTCGAGACAAAATTCCATTGAAAGTCTTAAAGTGTCATCTAAGCACTTTCGAGCAAATGCCTACAGAACCTTTTAAATATGCACTGGCATATCCGAATAACGAACCAAAAGATTCTGTCCGCGATTGAGTTTCCAGACCTCATATCCACGCTGGAATATAGCAACGTATAGCCTAAATGGTCAGAACAAAGAATAATAGTATAACATTGCTAGTTTATGATTCTATGGCAGAACTTCCTCCCCGGGATCATGGAACATGGAAGACACCAACCAGATCTCTGTTTATTTAAAATTGTTTCTTCAGGACGTTCTGCTACTGTGAAAGCCTGGAAGTGATGCGTGCTCACTCCGGTAGGATGAAACGATGGTTAACGCCACTCGTCAATAAAATCTCTACGTGAACAAGGCCTCATGAAGTGTTCCGTTTCTTTGAATCCATTGGGCTAGATAAAGATGGAGAAGATTGTCCTTTCTGAATATTTCTGTCCTCGTTTCTGGTGAGAGTATCTTCCTTGATGTACGTGCCTTAAAAGCGTATGAGCTATGTAATTCAGGATAATAAGAGCTTCACCAGCGAACAGCTTCTGATTCAATCAGAGAACTTCAGGGCAAGTCAAGCGGCTAAGATTTATACACCATGTGTACACCGAACTCTATCACACACTGTTATGCTATCTAGTGAAGTAGATGATTCAAGGATTTCGCGGATTTGACACTGAAATAAAATGTTAACGAGCCACATATAAGGCTATCAACAGCTGAAATATCGTTCGTAATGAGAGCGAGGTAGCTCTAACGAACATAATGATGCGAGATGCATCTGGCACTGAAGATACTCAATTGCCATTGAGCCGAAGCCAGCCTAAGTGTCACTTGCCCATAGGCAGTTGCAAGCAAAGAGACGGTGCAACGCGTCGTGAAATCTGGCCTTGGCTGAGTTATGCACTACGCGTCATTTAACACAATTCTACTTATAGTGCAAGATTTTCTTTGAACTAACAA